ACATGCAGCGCCTTCTTGAACAGTGGCCCCCACCCTAGAAAGAGGCCCCTTCTGCATGGGCGCGATCGCCGCAGCAACCAAACCTTTCGACATACGTCGAAGGGTCGTGCCACTGCTTTGGACTTTGGCCCTGGAATTGTGGCCCCCGTGCACGATCGGGACACAACAAGACATCGGGGTTCGACGGAACTAGAACGGCGGCCGGAGCTTTGACTCGGGCTCCACCGATTGTCTTGGACAGCTTTGGGCGACGGCCCACTGTTGTTGTGGAACGGTCGCTGAGGACCCGTAGCTGGTGCTGAACGGCCAACACCGGCAAAGCCTGTGCGCCGCAGCTAGTTTCGCCCTCTTTAATTAGCTTTTGTCTCACCGCTGTTTGGTCTGTTTGTTGGTTTGTTTGTTTGTAGGGACCGAGGCTACAGCCGTAGCCGACGAGGCCCATTCACGCCAAAAAAAAGCAATTTGCAAAAAAGTGGGGAGGTTGGAGGGGGCAAGCCCCCATTAAGCTTTTCTGAGCAGACCCCGCTGAACGATTCGTCGTCCTTGGCTCGCCTCTTGGGCCACCCAGACTTTGTGCAAGCATGGGCCAAGGACAGGTTGCATGCCGAGCAAAAGCTTCTTGACCAACTGCCCAAGCTGCCAGACCTGCAGTATGCATGTCTGTTCTTGCCAATGTGCGCGTCACCTTACGCGAACCACGCCATTCGCACCATGAAGCCTTCGGCGTCTGCAACGTACGTGCGGGGACATGATGATGCCAAATGGACGACGCTGCAGAACATGCTGCTCGGCGGAACGGGCGATGTGGCGCCGTGCGCGCTGGGGGGCCTCGGGTTGCTATCCGCTAAGGCGATCGCGCCTGCAGCTCACTGCATGGGCTTCCTGGCGCGGATGCATTGCTTGCAATCAATGAGGCCGGTCCCCCCCCCCGGGGTTTAACCCAGGTTTGAACCTGGGTTTGAACCTGGGTTCCCTCCCCCCGGGGGGGGGGAACAACAACAACAACCCAGGGAACCCAGGTTTTAAACCTGGGTTTAACCTGGGTTTGAACCTGGGTTTGAACCTAAATTAAAGCCTGGGTTCGAACCTGGGTTCAACCCCGAGTTAAACCCAGGTTTAAACCCAGGTTTTTACCCAGGTTTGAAACCCAGGTTCTAACCCAGGTTTTAACCCAGGTTTGGAACCCCGGTTTAATGAACCCAGGTTTAACCAGGTTAAAACCCAGGTTAATCCAGGTTCCAAACCCAGGTTTGAAACCCAGGTTCCAACCCAGATTTGGAACCCGGGTTTAAAAACCCAGGTTTAAACCCAGGTTATATAACCCAGGTTTGAACCCAGGTTTGAAACCCAGGTTTTAACCCAGGTTTGGAACCCAAGTTTAAAGCACCCAGGTTTAACCCTAGGGTTGGTTTGAAGAGAAGCTTAAAGGAGGCTGAGGAAGAGACCTGAAGGAGAACCTTCTTCGACACGAAAGGAGACGCCCACACGAAATGGTTAAAGGCGAATAAAACAAGCAGAAACATGAAAATTCACAGATACTGCGTTGAGCGTCTGACTTGTCGCTTCGCCACACGAGCGCACGCCGAACTTTGCAGGACCAAGGATGGAGCGATTGCCGGACACAGCGAATGCTGTTCCGAAGGAGCTCGTCCTGCCCCGCCAGCGGCCCCTAGTGCCGCAGGGCTGGCAGCACCGCGCATCGCGGACGTTTACCGTACATTCTCGCGACTGCGTGCTTCTGCCTTCCTTGCCGCCCAGTCCGCACGCACTGCTCTGCTCCCAGGCAAGGCCGCATGCCGGAGCGTGGCTCACCGCTGCGGCATGCGACCAGGCAACCAGATCTCGCCACAAGTCATGCAAATTGCGTTGAGCCGGCGCCTTCGCCTGGCCTTGCCTCTTTGCCCCAGCCACTGCGGCTCCAGCCTTGGATGCGGTGGAGCCCTGGACCCCTCAGGCGACCATGCCCTAGCTTGCTCGCGGACGGGCTTGTTGGCTAGATGTGCGAAGGTTGTTGAGCGCGCCTGGGTCTGCATGGCGCGCGAGGCCGTAGGACGTAGGACCCGAAGGCAAGGTCGTGCCACAGCAATGGCTCGCCCACACAACTGCTCCCGGCGTCCCAACCGAGGACCGTCGGCGCCTCGGCCTTGTCGTCTACGGCGCCAGGGCACCCGCATCCATGCACAGTAAAAGTGGACGGAGCGGCACTGAAGGTCGCGGAGCGGCGCAAGCATAGCAGGTACCCGGAGCTAGCGAGGGGCGGCTTTCGAGTGAAAATCCAAAGCCCCCTCCGATCGTTCTTTTACAAAAGATCATCGAAAGGCTAGGGTATGTGTTGTCGTGGGATAAAGGTTCTTGCATCTTGAGGGCCCCGAATGGAACCGTACACACACTCAAAGTTGGCGAAGGTTGCCCGTATATTTGGCATTCAGATTGACGTCGGTCGTTTCATTTTGCGGTTGGAAGCAAAAGCTGCGGAGGAAGGTTTGAAGCAACTGCATTGCTTGTCCCATTGAGCGGCGAGGGCGATGTGAAGCTGGTTGAGGAAGAACCATGTGAAGACACCGTGTGGGGTTCAGTCACTTCCAAAGTCCCTCAGAACCATTCAAGCAGCGAGGAAAGTGGAGCAATCGTATACAGCAAACTTGGAAGCACTGCCAGAGTCCCTCAGTTCACCATTTAAGGTGGTCCACCTTTGCGACCCCAGAGACGCACTGACGAATAAAACCAGAACGACCCAGGCTGGGCAGAGACCCAAGAAAGGTTCGAATCGCATCTCGCGGCACTTATGCTGAGGGATTGCCAGTAAACGCTTCAGGGGCATCATCAGGAACGATACGCGTCCTCCTGATCAGCACGGGTAAAGAAAATTGAATCTAGCCACGCTCGACATAGCTGCAACCTTTTTGCAAACACCGATGCCCGAGAAGGATTTACGTGCCGTCATTTATCAAACCACCGTTGTTTGAAATGATAAAAAGTATAAAGAACAGTAGCAACTTTCAAAAGCACTTTACGCCCCCAGTGGCTACGAAAGTCCTACTGCAACACATTACTACGCCTGGTCCCGGTTGAGGGCTGCAATGGCAAGCGGCTGGGCGCAGCGTCCGCGGGCAATGCTGTGCTTGCAGCGGCGAGCTGGACCGCAACTAACTAAGCTCCCCACCAACGTCGCGCCCACCCCAAGGCCGCGGCGCCACGCACTTTGGGCGGAGCGCGGAGAGCTCGGAGGCGGACGAGGTCGCGAACAAAGTGCTGCGCTGTTGCGTTCCAGTGGCCCCCCTATCTCCGAGCCGAGCACCAGCAGCTTTTGCGGTGGGATGCATGAGCGATCCTAGAGGAGTATGCCGCAGGATCGTTTCTGCATTCGTATCTAATTTCACCTGAACTGACTCTGCCCTGTCCCACTCCTCATTTGACATGGTCCACGCAGTACCTTCGTTGCGCTTGAGTCCGCCAACAATCGCCGACACATCAGGTTTTTGAGACTGGGCCTCTAAAGAGCTACACTGATTGAGACCCTGATCGAGTTCCCTCATGCAACCTGTCGGTGGCCCCTCCTGGACTGGCATACGGCTAGACACGACTAACGGATTCAACCTTGGACCTTGATCCTGTCCGGTCCGTCCTGCTGAAGCATCCACTGGATTGAGTCCTCTTTGCTGCAGGAGACGCGTTATGGCAAGAGGGTCAACTGTCGGTGTTGATGCCTGCATGGTAGCCTGTGCCGGCGTCCACGAGTTCAGAGCGTATGTGCGCTGAGCACCACATCTCCTTGCTTAACACTCCGTATAGTCGATTATAATCGCGCCCGTTGCTTTTCAAACAACGCACCTGCGATGCATTTGGGTGTAAGCATTTGGCGCACATTCACAGCCGGCGCTGCGTTTTCTTTCGCATTCTTTTTTTGAGTTTCCTTCAGCCTGATGCGTCAATATGATGCTTCTTCGGACGTCCGGCCCCAGCCCGTGATTCAAAAAAATGATAGATTTTGTGATGTTTTTAATTTGCGCCGACCCACGCTCCCGCACTATATGTCGAGGCAAGGGCGGCAAGCGCATAGCTGCACTTGCTGCAATCGCCCCGCACGGCTTGCTGTTCATCTTCTTTGGTTGGCTGCTGCTCGCACATATTGGCAATGGCACCGGGCGCCCAAAGGCATCACTTCCACAGCTGATGTTCCGGGCATGTCTGCACCAGGGAGTTCGGCAAGGTCTTCCAGTTCACGTAACGATGCTAGTGCCAAGCCAGTTGCCAACCGAGGGCCGGAGGACTTGAAGTTTGATAGTGTAGATTTTTTTTATACATAAGAAGGGTCTTGATGTTAAGTAGTTTTTCACGATCAGTTGCGTGCGCCATGTGGAGCACGCAATCCAGTTCCAAGGCCGCTGAACTGGCATTTGCTCGTTTGGTGCTTGCAGTTTCGGGTCGCATCATGTTTGCATGGGTCGACATGCCGACAAGAGGTCGCGGTGATTATCGCGGCAGCCGCAGTTGCCATTCCATTGGCGGGATCTGTGAATTACTACGACGGAAACAACCTTCGTGCGTGTGTTTCTGCAGGTGTACATACTATGGCAGAAAACGAGGCGTCAGCGCACTGCAAGGACACGGTCCTTTGCTTCGGAGCTCTCCGCAAGATTGGTAGGTCGGGGCTGTTTACAAGGAAAATTCCTGCCTCGATGGTACAGATCTTGGGTGATGGCGAGGTGCCGTTTCATTCCATGGCAGAATATGTTTAGTTCCGGTGGTATTGAAGTCGAACAGTCGGAGGTCAAAGACGCAGCTGCACAAGCGCCGGCTGCCCAGTCTGGCCGTACTGATTCGTGCCCCGTGACACCGAATCTTGTGCTTGTCTTGGCTCAACCGAATTTGCACGCGGCGAACATCAGTTGTAGCATGTGAACAACACACAGGCAAAATTCGCACCCCTGACTTGTTCAATAAATTCGCTTAGTGTGTGTGTGTGTGTGTGTGTGTGTGCGTGTCTTGACTTGCCAGCCATGCAGCTTTGCAGTGCGAGGCCGCGCAGCTGCCAGGTGGCACCAACTCACGTGTTTTCGCTGAGTCTCAGAGCTCCACATGCTTCGACCAGACACAGATCTCAGGCACGGTGGTCAAAGTTGGAAGCTGATGCCATCGGCAATGTTGTTCGTTGTCATGTTTCCGAGGTGGCAGGATCCTGTGCTTGTCCTTCTTTCCTGGGGCTGCTGGCTGGAACAGTTGGGGCCCTCCGGGTCCGCGCCAGGAAACTGGCAACCTGTGCTGCGAGGCTCCTGGATGGCAAGGCCACGGCCGCTCAAGTTCGAGAAGAGCTTCGGGAGCGTACGCGGTTGCTGCAGGCACAAGGCCTGATACCAGGTCTGGCGGTTGTCCTTGTGGGGAGCAGACCGGATTCTGAATCATATGTACGAGGCAAAACCAAGGCTGCGCAAGAGGTCGGATGCCAGGTGTTCAACATCAACTTCCCAGAGACCGTGACGGAGACGGTGCTGCTAGACCAGATCTCGAAACTGAATCAAGATCCGCGCGTCCATGGTGTACTGGTTCAGTTGCCATTGCCGGCGCATATCAATGAGCAGCTTGTCCTGGATAGCATATCTGTCGACAAAGATGCGGACGGCTTGTGCAGTGCGAACCTGGGGCTTCTTGCTCGTCCGCATGGTTGTCCGCTTGCTTTGCCATGCACCCCGGCAGGTTGCATGGAGATGTTGCGAAGATATAATGTCGGCATTGAAGGCAAGAACTGCGTTGTTCTCGGCCGATCTGCTATTGTCGGCATGCCTATGATGCTTCTCATGCTCAAGGCGAACGGAACTGTAAGATTGTGCCACAGATTCACGAAAGACATAGCCAAAGCGTGCTCCGATGCCGACATTCTTGTGGCAGCTGTCGGACGTGCAAGCTTTGTTAAGGGCGACTGGCTTAAACCCGGTGTGGTGGTGCTGGATGTCGGCATAAACCGGGTTCCTGATGCCACTCGCAAACGAGGCTATCGTTTGCAAGGCGATGTGGAGTTCGGAAGTGCTGCTCAGAAGGCTTCCCTGATCACACCAGTTCCAGGTGGGGTAGGCCCCATGACGGTGGCCATGCTATTGAAGAACACGGTAGCCTTGGCGGAAGCAATGCGTCACTAAGCGTGAGAGACAAGAGGCAGCAGGTAACATCGTGCGCTATGCTCGTTGCTTTGGATGCCGTTGTTCAGACTTCCCAGGTTCGAGAGGGCCGCAGCTTGGGCATCGGCCTCTGTTTGCATCTCCGCACTCCGCATGCCTCATTTTCCCCAGTTTTCAGGTCAGTGAGCATGGATCCGGGTTGAGTACAAGCGCGGCCCTGGAGCTTTACGCGTGGTACAAGCAGGCAACCTGTGGCCGGGAGCTGAGCCAGCTCGGATCGACAGCGGGTTTTCTTGTTGTCGTTTCTAAGGCGATTGCCAGGGGAGTCAACCTTTCAGCATGCAGGCAGCAACCCTTTTCTTCTTGCGCACTACCAAGCATGCTGCACGCATCGCGTGCAGGGTGCGGCCAAGTGGGATGCTTGGAACCAGGTTAGAGGCCAGATCGCACACTGACATCCCCTTCATTGTGATTTCATGTCTGGAACAGGTTATGCGAAAGAGGTGGCCCAGCTTGCTTACGCCTGCTCCCAGCTGCCCTCCTCTCGTGGTTTTGTAAACCGTTGGAATCCCAACAAGGTCAAGGCTCTGGAGCAATACGCTCCGGAGTGGATATCTGGAGGCCTTCATGTGTAGTTTGCAAACTGCAGCTGTCCCAAGATCACAATTGGCAAATACGCGCGTGGCAGGAGCTCTTGAAGAAACTGGAGCTCCACCAGACAGAGGTGATGGCTTGTGCTGTTCTCGGCCGTACAGACAAGACCCCTTCATGCCTGAGCTCTATGCATGGAAGATCTATGGGCCCTACCGTGAGCACTTTGGGTTACATCGGTGGCATGCTGAGCTTTCCAAGAGCGGTGGCGCTGATTCGTTTTGTAGTTTCTTGTTGTGGGGCAGATCTTCGTTGCACAGCCTTGCACTTGAGGCTCCGGGAACCCGGCAGATGTAGTGGCAATCTCAAAGCTGTTTCTCGTTGTTCTTTTCTGCACGTGGCATGGTTGCCTGGTCAGGGAATCAGAAAACATCGTCTGGTCATGCTGATGATACACGGGCCCTGGGCCCTTAAATGCCGCCTGGATAAGGACGAGACGCCTGCAGGGCAGCTTTGCCAGAAAATCGCAGACGGGGCAGTGGAGGTCGCGGGTTACTTTCGCCATGCGTCTGGACTTAGACAAGCAGTTTTTCCTGCAAACTGCAAGGAGGCGTTTGCACTGCTTCGTCAGTTCCCCAAGCTTGCAACAGAGGCGGTGGTCACAAGGCGGTCAAGCACCTACAGTGAGAACCTATGAGCCGCCAGGTTGACAAGGATGGCATGCTTCCGCTGCATTGGGCTGCAGATCGAGGAGATGTGGAAATGGCACGCAGCAAGAAATCGAAATGTGCACCATTTCTTCGAGCGAGCCGCAAATGCGGTTTTGCCCAGGTCAGTTTCCTGCTGGCGCTTGCCTAAGAATAGCACATGCAAGCCACGACCTTCGAACCTTCTCAAGTCCCGGGATGTCCTTTTTGCAGCTGCGCGGACATGTGATGGCATGTGCATTCGCCAGTGGGCTAAACTTGATGAGGTGCTTCCGTACGGAGGACTGGTTCACCTTGTTTCGCTGACGTTGGCTCGCTGAGGGTATCCCGGACGTGAAAGCCCACATCAGCGAGCAAGATTCAGGTGGTGACACCCCGTCGGGCTCTTGTCTGTTCATGGCGGATGTGTTCATCCCGTTCGTGCTGCTTTCATTTTGCATCTTTGCCCGCGGGTGAAGGGATGAGAAGGTCTTTTGCATGCTTGCACCACATGTGTCCCATTCAACGCAGTAGAACGTACAAGTAGAACATGTTGCTTGGTCCGAGGCTACACTACGCCGTCAGACCCCAGGGCCGCGTGAGATGCATGCACCTTTTGCCTTGTGTGAGTATGCTTTGCACGAAAGACGGCAGAATGATCAGGTCATGTCAGAAAATGAGACTGTCGCCAAGCTGTTGGTGTGCAGCGGTGAGACGCTCATTGCCTGGCGTGGCTCTGCAGAGTGGATTGGTTTGATGTAGACGTTTTTTAACGCCAACATACACCCCATCTCTAGCCTGTGGAATTGCAGGTGCTGATGCGCGCATTCCCAATGAGGCCGACAGAGTGATAAGAGAGACGGGGAGGATGTATGATGTGTGTTGAGTTCAGGTGGGGTATGTGCGCTGTAGCCGCGATTGGCGTAGGCAACACTTGCGTGGAGTCTCGGGCAAACTTCTGTTTGCGCCGTAGGTCCGTAGGTTTTGATAGTATTTGAGCATATGGATTTCGAAGGAAACCTCACGCTCGGTGTGAGCCCGAATCCTCCAAAATCACCGAGATAGAGGGCACCGTTGAGAGTGGGAATCCAGGGTCTGGATGCATCGACAGTGGCAAAGCCTGCAATCATGGACATGGCATGGGCAGCCGGCTCAAACGAGTCCATTCTACGGACATGTTTTGGAAATCCAGCAGTACATTTCGTTGGTATATAAGCTGTTTGACATTTGTTTATCATCCCGCTTCCGGGAACTGGAGGGCCAAAGGTTGCATTTGAAGTTAGGCAGATCTGGTTAATGACCTTGTGCTTAAATGGCTCGGCTCGGTGTGCAAACTAGTTCCTGGCCCAGTGCATTGCTAACGTGGCCAGTGGAAACGGGACTCCGTCCCCCCCGTCTCTGCTATCAGGTTGCACGCACTACTCACACATGCTTCAGCGACGTGCAAAGTCTGCAGGGTGCTCTGGACACTGGCAAAATGCTGGGAGGTCCGCCGCGCAAGGATCCTACTGACCAAAGGGTTTTCAACGACGAGCCGTCCGAGTCCATGGAGAGGTTGCAGAAGCTCGAGACAGAGAAAACCAAAAGGATGGAGGAGACAGAAGCAGCCGCAAAGAAGGAGCTTAGGAAGGAGAAGCGAAGAGTTGAGCAGTACGAGGAGGAAGAGAAGAAGCTGCAGAAGGACATAGAGTCCTTGAGGCAAGATGCAAAGACTTTGAAGCAAGAGGGAGAGGCGGAAGCAAGGAAAGACGAGAAGCTCCCGGCGGTCGCACAAAGACAAACGGAAGGGGAAGAAGGGGAGGGGGAGGGGGAGGGGGAGGAGCGGAGAGCCAGGCCGGGGCGGGAGCCGGAGCCCGGGGAGCCGAAGCCGAGGCCCGTAGGGGAGGGTGACGAGGACGAGGACAAGGAGAGGCCACGAGGAGAGAGCGAAGACTCAGGAACCTCAGGCTCAGGTCATGAGTTCTTGGCACAGAGCCGCATCATCGCTCCTCCCTACCTCGAGCCAACACGCCCAGAAGACGAGATCCCCGTGGCCGTCGCTACCACGCAAGAGCAGTGGCGGCGACAACGGATCGCGAAGGACCAAGTTCAAGTGGCGCAGGATCAGATGCAGCTAGCGAAGGACAGCCGCACCTTGGCGAAAGGCCAGGACAAGCTGACAAATCTGCGGACTCCAGGCGTGGAGAAGGAGGAGCTTCTTGCAGAGCAGGTGCGTGATCAAAAGAGGATCGCCTTGGATCAGGAGCTGTTGGTTCAGAGTCAAAAAAGATTGGCGGAGGACATGGACAGTGCCATCGACGGTAAGCTCCGGTGGGAGCGTCTCGAGGACTACCGCAAGCGCCGCATCGAGAAATTTCAGGACATGGTCAACGACAAGTTGAATCGCTTGTACAAGGCAGAGATCGACTTCGTGAAACGAGGCCGCAAGGGCAAGCTCCGTGGAGCGCCACTGCAGGTCCCGGACTATGGCCAGATTGGCCTGCGAGTCGTTTCCGGCGCAAAAGCTGCGCTGGCCACGGGTGGAAGTGACGGCAGCGAGGTCTTCCAGGAGGACCGCTCTCCCGAAGAGGCAGCAGAAGAGGAAGCTATGGCACAGGACACCGACGAGGTACCTCCAGACCAGGCTAGCCCTCTGCAAGATCAGCCCGTCATGCACAGCGGCTTCAGCGGCCTACACTTTTCAGAGTTTTGCTGGTTCCATTGCTTCCTAGCAGAGAGACAGCAGCTGCAAAATGCACACTCGGCATATTCCGACTTCTTTCCCAATGCAAACGCAAGCAAGTGTGTACAATAAGCGGGTCGGTCCCTAGAAGGCTGCGAAACCGTGGCCTTGCTTGAAGTTAATGAGTTCCAATTGCTGCAGCCCAGCCATGCTGGAACGCGGTGGCGTGTTGGATCTACCACAGCTAGATCGTGCTGCAATCCTATCTTGTTCACAAATGGAGCAAGCGGTCTACAGCTCCGTGAGCCGCGAGTGCAGATCGTAGCATTCTGAGGTGCTCAGGTTGCAGCTTGAGTGAAGATGTGCATCAGGCTGGTGAAACACCAGCCGAGCTGGCCGAAGCAGGAGGCAGACTCCAGGGACTCCAGGGCTGTCGCGAGCTGCATAGATGTTCCGTGATGTGACAAGCAACCAGGCCTTGCGTTGGGATGACCAGCAGATCTCGCTCGGCGAACTTTCTCGAAAAGTTTGTTTCGCGGCTGTGCGGGTTTCTGAGTCGTGCGTCGGGTCATCCGGCAACTTGTTCGCAGGCGTTTCGGTTCCAAATGCCACAAACCCCACCCGCATACCGAAACAGTCCCGGTTGCTGAGCCTTGTTTGCACTAGGCTGGGAGCAGCTGCTGTTTCGAAGCTGTCAGTGCTCCCACACCGAGGTTGAATGCAGCAACAAGTTGTCGCAAGCTGACCTCCGAGATTTGAGAGCAATGTGCAGCATGACACATGTTGGTGAAGTGTTCGCGGCCAACTCAGGTTGTATTCTGGGTTCAGCTTTTGCGGCCAGTGCTCAAACTCCCTTGGTCGCCAGTGTAAGCGGACCGACCGCAGAATCTTGGCATCGCTAAGTTTGGTAGCCGATCGGCACAGATTCGGTTTCTTTGTCATCCTGCGCCGCTAGAGGAGATTCGGTTGCTGCAACCCTCGCACCTTGGACCGCAAGCCTGCCGGGTTTAGACACGTTCCGCTAGACTTCGCTTAGGCGCCGGATCCTGAGCGTCTCTGCCGCTGCAGCAGTGGGAGAAGCCATACAAACTATACAGATTGACAGCAGCCATAGGACCGATCGCGCTGATCTTTTGTTTTGATCGCAAGCTGTGCGGCTGTGCACGCCTCCTTTTTGTCTGACAGGAGCCAAGCAACGAGGCAAGCTGCTTCCGAGTTAGCTTCGCAGCTGACGGCCAGGCTTGCGACCTGTGGCTGTCGAACCACCAGTCTGCTCAAAAGAGATCGCGGCACCACAACGCCTTGGGTCTGTCCCGCACGCAGGCCAAACGGAAGAATCGCTGAAACGAAGGGATGGATTGACCTTGTCCTTCTGTCTTACTTCTGCGGCGGCGCGCTCTCGATTGCTCGCGCCATTGTGCTTCTTGCACAGTTTGTCACTGCGCTGGAATTACCGGTGCACGTCGAAGCTAGTGCCTGGCATCCTGTCGTGAATTCCAGCGACTCACTGGCATTGCAGACATGTCATGGCACACCCAAGGCGACATTGGGCTTTCGCTGGCAGCCGTTCGTCATCCCCGCCAGAAGCTTCCATTACCATCTGATGTTGTTGGTGTTGAAGAGGTCATTGTGTGAATTGTGAGACTGAGGCTGCCGCTGGTTTCGCATTCATCCCCTTGGGCTGGGCAGGAGCGAGTGAAGAGCAAAATTTTGCATTGCTTGATCCTCCCCCCTCCCTCAAGCTAGGGAGAGGGAGGGAGGGAGGAGGAGCTAGGGGGGGAGAGGGAGAGCGGGAGCGAGAGGGAGGGAGGGCGAGGGAGAGGGAGGGAGAGGGAGGCAGGGCGAGGGAGAGTGGGGGCGAGGGCAGGAAAGAGAGAGAGATAAGAAAACAACAAAGGCGGGTTGGGGGTATGACTTCGGGTGTTGCGGTGAGAAAGCCGGTGACTCAGTCCTGTTTTGGCCAGCTGCGCCAATCTGCAAAATAAGTCTCCAGTGCTCGAAATCGCCCGGGGGGCTCCGCAAACGCGGACCTCCTCGGCTTTGGTGAAGAGAAAAAACAACACAAGTTCGGGTGAGCCGAGTTGAACGCGGCACACTTTCTCATCGATTGTCCTTGCTTCTCTTGGTTCAAACATGGTACTCAGAAAGGCCTTTCTATAAAACCTCCAGAGAATAGGGTGGTCGCCCAGCTGAGGCCTTGCAGTGGGGGCACAACACAACCTTTGGAGACAAGACTAACGCATAGTTCTGAATGTTTATGCTTTGGTGCCTGATCTTGCTTCAACCTTGCATGTGCTGGTAGACTGCTTGCCTTGTGAAGAGGATAGCGACGGTGCAATCTCTGCCCGTTTGTGTTGTCTCGGTCTCGGTCTGTCTGCATCTCTGTCTCTGTCTCTGTCTGTCTGTGTGCCTGTCCGTGTCTCATCGTCTGTGCTGCTTTGTCTGGACAGACAGGCAGAGAAGAAGACCGGCAGCCAGGCAGCCAGGCATGCAAACAGGCAGACGGACAGACAGAGATGGAGAGACACTTGATAAACATACAGTCTACCTGACAATTGGAGGATCCACGAAGGCTTGCACGTCCCACGCAAAGCCCCAGAAAAGTATGGGGGGCCCCAGGTGGCCGGGGGACATTGCCAGTCCTATACGCCCTGATGAAGAAGACACATCATTCATGCATTACCGGGATCACGGTCTAGCATCCTTTTTCTCTCGTGGTAAAAAGTTTTATTTCTCTGTTTGCATGACTTGGCCTGACATCTATCTCCATTCGTTCGTTTCTCTTTGTGCACCTACACACTCCGTAATGACATCGCACCGAGACGACGTAAACAGAAACTGGCACGAGATGTCGTGCTTCGTGAACAAGCAAAACCTTCAGTGCTAGTCTCTCTTCCTCTTCCCTTTCTTTGCTTTATCTCTCGCGAAGTGAAAGGATACTTGGTCTTCAGCGGGCGTGGAACTTGCAGCCTTCCGGCAGGCTTTCAGAGAAGAAGCATCGGCTGTTTCGGAACAAACGTTCGAGCTTGTTCTTGCATGTCCAGCGTGAACAGATTTCACCTGGCATCTTGGCAGTTGGGCAGTAGCTGTGTATGTGCTGCAGAGAAGGTTATGCGAATTCTGCCTTGAACTTCATCATCCCAGTCAGCGATCTACCTGCTTGTGTCCAAGCAGGATTAGATCTGCATGTGCTAAGCTGACTGTTGCACAGTCTTTTCGGGCCCCTATTGAACGCAACATTGAGGTGGTGGACGAAGCTGCGAAGTTGAAGTCAGATCGGCTGCTGCTTGTCATCTGATAGGCATCCGCCGCACGAGGTTACAATTTCCCTGAATTTCTGGTCGAGCTCGTGACGCTGTCCGCACTCTTCTCCTCGATATACGTCGTTTTCTTGAGCAGGCCGGATGAGCCTGTGACCCGGCACGTCTCAGCATCAGTCGAGACACACGCACTTTGCAGGTACTTCAAAGCTCAGTTTGCGTGGCACCTTGACTTGAAGTTTCTGTGCAGCCGACGTTTAACAGCGGTCCTGCGTTCCAGGTACAGCGAGCCGAATGCTTCATGGCTACTGCTCGGATGTAAGTTGCTACGCATCCTTGGAGTATCGGCCATGATTGGCTTGGAACTTCGGATGCACCTGGCTTGCTTGTCAACAGCTTCCGCGCTAAAATGTCATTCGACAGTTGTTTAGCAGTTCGCAGTCTTCGGCATTTGAGGTCGGTGTGGCCTGGATACCAACGCATTTCTACAAGCTGATCCATCGCACAGCCGTGCCCAGTCATAAACATCCCTCTTGGCATCTGGACTGCCCACTCAATCGAGATTCACTTCATTTGCATTGGGAGGCTTACGTTTTCTTTCTGGCGAGCATTTGGATGCTCTTCCTTTACGGTGGCTTGTATGCACCGTTATCCAGTGGACTCTTGTTCGGCTCTGTCTGTCATGAGGACTGCTGGTAGCCAGCTTGCCAGACAACTGCCGGCGGCCTTTCCTGCTACCGGCAGCAGTAGATGCTCGACTCGGGAAAGTTCGGAGGGAGTTGGCATCTCAGCCATTGGGAATGCAAGCAGCTGAGGGCACCATGCTGTGGATTCTTATGACCATCTACGGCGTTCTCCGGCAGCCAGGAAATGTGCTATTCTTGCACAGCGTCTGCATGGTTAGTTGCTGTACATGATCCCAAGGTCCAATTCACTTTCAACTTCTGTGACAAGATCTGTGGGGGTGGAGATTTCAGCCAGGAGCCACGTAGTCTGCAGAAGCTCGGCTCCATTAGAATGAATGTGAGGCCTGTGAGGTCAAAAGCATGTTGCATTGCTCCTAGTCTTGAGGTTGCAGAGAGAAGAGCTGTTCCTGTATGAGAAGTACCGCGCCTCGCTGCAAGCAAACAGTTTCATCGTGCCCTGCAGTCGCTTGAGCCAGCTGACCTACTCCGAAACGGGAGAAGCATAAAAAAACAAAAAATGCAACACTACAAAACAGTATCAATAAAAAAGCTGACAACACATCAAGAACAAAGCAAAGCTATCGCTGCATGGAAACCCCAGGGCGGAGAAAGAACGACGAAAAGAAAGACATAGATGAGCAAAGAACGGAACACACCAGAAATAACGAAAGACAGAAAACTAACGAAAAAACGAAAGAAAAACAAAAGAAAGAGAGACAGAAAATTCAAAAGGACAGCAAGACAAGATGAAAGGAATAAAGACAAACAGAACGAAAGAACGCAAGAAGGAAAGCAAGAAACAGAGAGAACGAGAAGGAGAAAAACAATGAACCGGGACGAAAAAGAAAGGAAGAGAGAGAGATAGAGAGAGAGAGAGAGAGAGAGAGAGAGAGAGAGAGAGAGAGAGAGAGAGAGCCGATGGGGGGAAAGACGGCGCAGTTTCACAAACCCGAGCTCCCTAGACCAGGACGACTAAACTCTCCGTGGGGGTGGAGCCAGCTGGCCTAATTTGCTCGCTACCTTGCTTGCGAGTAGGGGAGTTGTATGCGCCGGAAGTTGGGGAGCTGGGGGGAACAGCCTCGTGAGGACAGGGCCGAAACTAGTCGCATGGCAACTTACCTAGGTGGTGATAGTCGCTGTTTGTCAATGGCTACGGCCCGCCCTGCGAGAGATCAGGCTTCAGGGACGAAGTGGGCAGGTACAGGCAGTGCAGTTGCGCAAGGTTCTGTTCGGTGTGAGGTTGGGAGGCAGGCAAGGCGGGGTACGGAATAGGGAGCAAAAGTTTCACCATGACCACAAGGAGTGGAGCTCCGAGTGGGAACATAGGGGGGACGTTTCGAGCAGCCGAGCGTTGATTGTACGAGTGTGGACCGTTACTGCTGGCCGGCTGAGCTCGAAAGCCACCCTACCTTGTCCGGAAAGAGTGGATGACCCGAGTGGCAAGTGTCAGGGGTTTGCAAGGTCATGGTTTAGGAGGGGTGTTTTCGGCGGGGGGTTGCCAACACTGACACTCGGAGGAACACTTCTTTCCACCCCCGAAAGGGGCCGCGAAGACTGACCGCCGCGAACCTTGGGGGGGTAGGCCTTCGGGCCAAGGGTCCCCGGACCCTACACCCCTAGGCAAGCAAGCAAGAGCCGATGTTTAGCCTTTCTAAAACTTGTGGAGGCGTGCTGCATACTCTAATGCGGGGGGAACTTCTTTGTGAGGCAGTTACTGAACGATGCAGTGGGTGCAGTCAGGTGGTCGCAATTGAAGTACAGCTGAGCCCTCCTTGACCAAGTCATGCGGGGAGGACATGAATCCTGCGGACTGCAGGAACGCGTGCGGAAGGGGTAGCGTCCGCTGCCTCTTTCCTACCTGGCAGAGAGAGAGAGAGAGAGAGGTGGACTGCACCCGCCTCACACCCCAAGCAAAGCAAAGAGAGCCGATCCCGTAGCCATTTTGGCTGAAGGAAACCGATAGGTGTGGCCATTCATACTTGCGACTCTTGCGACGGTCAAGTTGGCAGAACTACAGCCGTAAGGGGGACCTAGTTCTTGCAAGAACTCGTTCTTTGACCTTTTGGACCGGGTGGACACGGACCTTTTTGCCAACCGCTTTGACCCAGCGGGGGCCAAGCTTCGCAGCAGCTACGATGGCGCTGGGCGGGGGACTTTGGCAACTGTGGCAGGAAGGGCGACGTCGAGAACCACACACTACACCACGATGGCAGCCCGAAGGGGGCAGGAGTGCAAATTTTGCCGGTATGGGGCGGGAGTTTGCATGAGTCTGCCAGACAGGCTTCCGAAAGGTCCACGCACGAGAAGACCCGCACTGCAGACCCCACGGGGTTATTCAAAGGAATGTTAGGCCGATAAACCACCTACCACCGCCACCGACGCCAGCCCAGGAAGCACCGCGAAGGACAGAGACGTCCCTGGACAGGAAAACCCTTTTTTCACGAGGGGGCGGCTGCACCTAGCTTCTGTTCAGCACACCAAAACGGTCGAGTTTTGAGACACAGTGAGCGCATTTTCTCCGGTGACTTGGTGAAGGTGCTTGTGGTTGAGTTCGTGTTTTCAAGCGCACTTTGGCAGCGTAGTTGGCAAGCCTGTGTCTTCTATTCTGTTGTTGTCCTCAGTCACGCTTACAACAGCCAGCCTAATCGGACGGGCCGCGGAGCCATACATCGCCACACTTGTCCATAATAGGCCGATTTGTGCGCGGCCCAGCGCCTCCATTCTGCGGCCGCTCCGCGCAAAAATCCGCCTTTACCCGACTTGTCTGGGGCGCACTTAGCCCCTCTGAACTGCATTCGTCGCACACTCTGCATCTGCAACGGAAGTTTTCGACCAATTCATTCCTGTTCTTGACTGGCGCAACTTGAACTGTTCTCCACTAGCATGAAACTTTTGATGTTGCTGACAAGATGGGGAACCCGCCTGCAGTCGTGACCTGTAAGGCTTTGTTTTCTTTTGGTGCTTCAGCTAACAAGGCGGGGGAACCATTCTCCAGCCGCTGCTTTTGCAGGCGGAATGTTCCTGGTGAGGGGCTAAGGCTAAGGATTGGGCTATAGAGAGCGGGGTGATGAGACGCGGGATAAGGTTCGGGGAGGGTTGGTTCATCACCAGGAACACCCTACCTGCTGTACCAACCGACGGGGGACAAAACCCTACCTTCGAGCACCCCAATGCCTCTTCCACCGCACAGACGGGGAAGGGGGCGCCTTGGCGCAGGTTCGCACTGCCAGGATTCCCCTGTGATGTGAAGTGAAGTGAAGAGCCGATCCTGTGCAGGCACCCGGGGAACTAAGGGGGTATGCCTGTTGTTGTGGTATAAGGTGTAAAACTGTTACTTGGAAGGGAGCCAGAAACAAGTACAAACCACTAGCTAACCGTAGGGGACACGAACATGGCATTTTGTTGTGCACTTGCCGGGCCCTCAGAGTGTGCTGCCGTCTGCATGTGATGATGTTGTGGTGAGACACCCCAAAACGGGGGAAGACAGATGAGGCACGGGGGTTACGCGGCTTAGGGTCAAAAGGGGCGGGTTAACGGCGCCAGAAGTGCCTCATCCAGTCGGGGGCAATGAGACACACAGACTTTGGTGCGGGCTCGCGCGCGAAGGGTGCTTGTGCCCGCCTTGTCCGCATGCAAGCAAGAGCCGATCCTGTGCATGGGCGCGGAGATGGGGCCAGATTCGGGGTCATTAGCGTGCAGGGCGGGGCTTGCAGCACAAAAACACTGAGCATGCCCTGTAATGCGGTACAGTAACATTGTGCGCCCATGGCCTGAAGGTCACGATGTGGCCCCTCAGCCCTGAGCCCTGCAGAAAGCAAAGAAAAGAGAGAGCCGACAGCCCAGGGCGTGTGCGCGCGAGAAAGGGTACCGCTGTTCGTGTTGGCCGTGTGGAAGAAGGAGAGAGAGAGGGTGAGAGAGAGAGTAGCACGGTCGACCCTGGAGCGGTCGAAACCAAAGCAGTACCTGTTGTGCCGTCCGTGAAGGGTTGCAGTAGGTGAGTTTATTCCCAAGATGTACTGGTGCAATATGCATGTGTCCAAGATGATCGAGAAACCCTGATCGTTTCATAGGCCAATATACTTCGCTTGCATTGTCAGGGGGACTCGATCTTTTTGCACACCCTAGAGACAGAAAGAAATAAATCACTACAAAATGACAACAAGGAAAATAGGAGAAATAACGAGAGAAAGACAGACAGAACGCAAAGAAAGAACAAATGAAAGAACACCGACGAAGGAAGTAAAAGAACCAAAACAGAAGGAAACAAAGCAAGAATGAAATAATGAAGGAATGAAATAACGACAGAAAGAGCGCATGCAAGAAAAATACAACGGGGGTCCACTCCCTGCTTCTTAGGCCGCGCGCTCGCGTCAAACATCAGCCTGCCTGCAAAAACAGAGCCCACATTGATCCTGTGAGAACCCCTGATACAGTTGATGCAGACGCGCGTTGGGTTTGCAAGGGCGGGGGGGGGGGGGGGTTGCGCCCAACCCAGCTTTCTTTTTGTGCTGCGCATGGCTGGCTTTGGGGGAGGTGGCGCCATCAAGAAGATCTGAGTCAATCACAAAACTCTTATAGAAGTTTTCTAGTTTCAATTCCACAGGAGTATTCTAGTCTTAAAAAATCGAGGCATTCTGTCTGCAAAATGGGGCCCGCAAGGTGCTTTTTGAGCCGCGCAAGCTCGCTTCAAACATCATCCTGGCAGCAAAGCAGAGCCCATATGGACCCTTTCAGAACCAATGGTACCGAACCCACCGTTTTTCAGCTTACCCCTCCGCCTCACGAGTCCGGGGCCGTTTTTTGAGCCGCAATCGCCACATGAGGGAGCGTGTTTAAGATATATGATGAACCGGAATCGCCAGATGAGGGGGCGCTTTTCGTGTTTATGATATAGATGTATGATGAACCGGAGTTGCAAGATGAGGGGGCATGTTTCGTGTTTACGATATATGACGAACGGTCGCCAGATGACGGGGCGTGTTTCGTGTTTACGATACATGACGAACCGGAGTCGCCAACTGAGGGGGGCATTTTTAAGATATATGATGAACCGGAATCGCCAGATGAAGGGGCATGTTTCGTGTTTACGACATATGAAGACCCTGAATCGCCAAGATCGGGGGGCATGTTTAAGATATATGAGATGAACCGGGATCGCCATATGAGGACGTGTGTTCCAAACACGTGATGACCCGGAATCGCTTTACGAGGGGGCGTGCTTAAGGTATATGATGTCCCGGAATCGCCAAATGAGGAGCTCGTTTACTATAGTTTCACTCTTGTGAAGATGATGGTGATGATGATGGGGATGATATATGTATATGATGCAGAGCTTTTTACCAAACAGCACCCTTACGAATCAAAATTCTTCAGTAGCTTTCGCAAAGCGGAGCTTTGTGGAGTGCATTTCAAAATAACTTGGCGTCATATTATGACCCGGAAGCGCCAAATGAGAGGGCGTGTTTCAGATGTATGGTGAGCCGGCATCGCCAAATGAGGGAGCATT